TAAGAGAAATGAAATATTCGAACGGGTGCAGTTTTTTTGTTTTTCAAGTATAGTTGACATACGGCAGCTCAAATTTTTGTTATGCTGATCGAAAGTATTTGATGATCTCCGTTTTATTCCCTTGTATTAAATTATTTATTTGCAGTCAATTTTGTTTTTCGTAATCATGTTTTAGAGTTGGCTGGAGATGTGGACCATTCGATTGTGGAGCGTATGTGTCGAATGTTTCGTTTAAAGTAGGTGTTAAATTTTGCCGCCTAGTCTGCTTCGGCGACAACGAAATCGACGTTTTCATGACGAAGAGGCAGTCATTTCTAACGCTTTGGACACCACCGCGTTTGCTTCATGTTATTGAAGACCTTTCCGTAGGTATGGTCATATTTCTTTTATTTGTATAACATAATTTATATGTATCTTTGGTAAAAATATCTTTGTTGTAATATCATTCAGTCGCTTATCACTTTGGTTTCATGAAGGCAGCAACGTCAGACAGAGTCTTCATCATTTGTAATCCTGTGTCAGAACCTAGTCTTCAACAGAAGTTGAATCACAGACCAGACACCTTCCATACACATCCCACAGATTATCCTTGTCCGTCTCCTTTGTCTATGGCTGGTCGGTTAAGCAGTTAGAACGTGTTTCGCCTTTCTTTCTAGAGACATTCGGAAGACGTGCCCAAACCGTCACAGCTGTGACATCTCAGTCAGGTGAAGCGCTAGCTGTATACAAAAACTATCTCGGATATCTATACTTCGTGCCATGTCGAGAACGCATGGGCCCAACGATTTTTCTCATAAAGAGCGTTTCAGCCGCGTTTATCCGGGGTCACAGTTTCTCGGTCATGGTCAACCACTTGTAGCCATGTGTCATTTTGCGTATAGCAGATGAAGATCGACTTTACACAGATAGCTTAGTCTTTCGATAGCTCAGTTCTTCTTGGATCACATCTGGCTTGATGTCAGGAAGTCAAAATCTGTCTTGCACTTGCGGTCTCCTGTCATAATGACAAGGAAATAACATATTGACAGAATCGCAACAGAGCAACAAAAGTCTCTTATCCTGTCTGTTACAACTTATGTGTGAAAGTGGAAGAACCAGAAGGCAGAACGCGAATCTATTGAAGTTTTCAGAATACCGTAATGAATCTCTTATGAGCACGCGTCCTTTGTCTTTCGAAAACAGATTGCAATTCCGGGCTGACTACGGATTGAATACAGTGCTCGACGACTTCTGCTTTTGTAATACGGTCAGAGGTAACTAGCAGCAGTTGTTACTCAAGCCGATAATTCGTTAGTGCTACGGTGAGGTAACAAGTGGACGGCATTTGTTAGAGAATAATGCTTTGGGGATTTTCGCAACACATGTCAGGGGAACTGTGTGACGGTTCTTTTTTGCTCCCATTGCTTGAATGAACTACAAACATGTTCTTCTATCTTGTACAGAAAAAATGCATCGCAGTAGAACTATCATACTTCGTTTTCTTCTTCAGTCGGAAAGAGGAATCATTTTCCTTGATGGTCTCGTCTTAACTGAAGCAAAATGGCATAAAGTAGACTTTTTCATATGGCTTTTTGAATAATAATGATATTGTTAATGTCTGATAATGTTTTGCATATCGGAAACACTCTGCAAATTGACGCATGAAAACCCCTGCACTCCGCTCTACTTTCACAATTTGTGCCCGGTTACTTAAACCTAGCAGTACAGAGGCATCGAATTCTTCATCGACATTTTACCTTCTGGACATTGGTTTGCATTTGAAAGTGTCATAATTTTATTTTCGAAGATTTATTATTGTGCCTTAGAAAACGGAAGAGTGTACAGAATGGCAAGAATAGAATCGATCAGACAACTGACGTGCGATACGAAGCGTTACGAACTTGAATATTGCGATGACGAAACGGTTACAAATATTCCTGTCGGTTCCCACGTGTTTCTCAAAGCTTCTTTGAATGGTAGGACTAATAAAACTAGAGTACATTTATTAGATTTTCTATTTTTACACATAAATGGTTATTGCGTGCTTCCGCTTGTAAGTACTTCTCGACTAAGTAGCCACGCACATGTGAAATTACATGTACCGTAAAAGTAGAAAAATAAAGGCATATGTACTGTGGAAATACTGTACATACAAAAGCCGATATCAGCTCGAAGTTCTTGCTGTACACCAGTTTTCCTCCTTACCTGACCCTCTAGCTTTGCCAGAACAAGATTCAAAGCATAGATATGTTAGATACCGACATCGATGGGGAAGTGCGTGAATAATTATATGATAACAAACGTAGAATATCTAAAAGGGATGTCGATTTCTTGCCTGTGAAAATTTGTTCTTCTAAGTTCATGTTTAACAGCAAACCAGCAACTAAGTACGTTGTTGAAATTGTTTTAATTTTGCCAAGGCCTTTGACCGAAATATGTTTATGAATAAAAGATGTGAAAACCGCGTAAAGTATCTTGATGCAAGCGATTCCTCATTTGTAATGGTGCCCATGAACCCTGTTTGAAAGCGCTTAGACGGCGTTAGTGTCCATTTCTCTTGGTCACTGTCTCTGTGCCATATATATGGCTTAGACTAGAGGATCTCTTTCACATAAGATTTCATTTTCGAGTTCCAAAAGTTGAATCCTCATACTTTGCTGATCTCAAAATTTCGGTAACTTCTAACCTTCTCCGCCGTTAGAACAGTTCGCTTGTTCATTTGTGTACCTCTGTACTTGAAAGGTAAAGTTTCGACCTGTCAGTTTCCATGTATGAACGGTCTGCGTACACTGCCCATTTTGCCTTCCTCACCACTATCATTTTCCGTCCATTTTGTTGAACATCTCTAATTTCTGCAGTGGTTCAAAAGTTAGTGTCATTGAACCGAATGGTACCGTTAACTTACTCCATTACGTGCGAAATGTGTGAGATGTATGCCGGATTCTCTGAAGCTGCGGCCTGACTTAGCGAGCTTTTTTGTTCTTTTCGTAAAATCAACCGCAGTGTCAAATCGAAATCAGTAGAGAATAACTATTTGCTTGTCTCACGACGTTTTGAACTTGCGGCAGTCACAGAGTATTCTTCTTTCGGATTTCTTGACGGATCGGTTTTGTAGTTGATTTAGTTCGTAGTACAGTAATATAGTTCAATGAAATTCGTCAAGCCGAGGAAGATATCAGAAGAGTCCAAAAATCAGCGTCATCAATTGTTTCAGGAAATATTTTTTGAAGAACGATGAAATACTGTTTTACATACCCCTTATCGTGGAAGCAGAATTGAAGTAATCTACTAGCTACAAAGGCTATTTTTTCCACAGTAGACAGTTAAAATAAGTAAATTTCAGACCGCATCATTAGGTTAAATTATCCACTATTGGTGCAACCTTCCTAGCCTAAAACAACATTAGCTCTTGTCGTAATATCTACATGGTGTTGAATATCTGCTTTTACTCCAAATTATATTATGAGCAGATTACTTCTATTTTGGATTTATATATAATACGCATAGACATTATTATTTAATAGGAGGCAATTATTGCTTTTCAAATGGCTGATAATTGGTTCTATATTTGAAACCGAAACGTCGAAGTAAAGTAAGTTTACTTCGTTGCGAAAGCTATGTATTTCTCAGAGTCAGGTGAACTGCATGAATTGGTTAGAAGAGAAAGTCAACAGATGAAGGAAGGCTGCGTAGGTCAATTTTAATGTTTTAAAACATCGCCACTCCACAGTCAGCTACCAATGCAGACGAAGATGGAATTGTTCTGTTCAACCTCCCTACC